GAGAGAGAGAGAGAGAGAGAGAGAGAGAGAGAGAGAGCACACATAGAGAGAGACCTGGTGCAGAGGTGCCTCTGGAAGCCCCTCAGAAGATGCAGGCCTTTAGTCACTCGGTGACTGGGTTTAGGGCTGGGTGGAAAGAACCTGGGAGGAGGCAGGACGTTGGCCTAGATTCTCTACAGATTTCCTGTTGGTTTTGCCTAATGCAGATTGCTCCAGGCTACTGGATCATTTTGGGAACGGGCTGAGGCCTCAAGGAAAGCCATTTGCATAAAGGCGAGGTTGAAATTAGCTCAGGCGGTGGGCTGAACACCTCCAGGTCTTGGGAGGGACAGGTCCCGCCAAAGGTGTCTCTGGTGCCTGTCATTCTGAGGCTAGACCAAATGCAACTCTTGATCCCACAGGCGAGAGCTTCATTTCTTTGGGGTGAAGGTCAGCATTATTGAGCCGGGGAACTACCGGACATCCATCCTGGGCCAGGAAACTCTGCAATCACGCATGAAGAAGCTGTGGGACCGGCTGCCGCAGGAGACCCGGGACAGTTACGGAGAGGAGTATTTCCGTGTCTGTGAGTCTCCAGGAAGAAGCGGGCTCTCTGAGGCAACTGTGGGGCTTCGGGGAGTCACTGGCTGAATTTCAGTTTACAGAGGATGAGGCAGAGCCCCAGAGATCATCCAGACAGTCACAAAGCTGGAGTTTGAGATTAGAATCCAGGTTGCAGGGCCACAGCTGCGGGGAAGGTAGGAATGGGTGGGAAGAAGCTGTCTGCTCTGGCACGGCTCCTCCAAACATCAGTGCAGGTAGAGCTTGTGCTGAGAGGAGACTAGCAAAAGACAGAGGGCCTGTTTGTGGGAGCCAGACCTCCTGCTGGGAGTCCAGGCTTTGTCCGCCACTTGTGAGCATGGACATTGTTTTTTGTTTGCTTGCTTGCTTGTTTGTTTTGTGGTGTTGTCATTGTTTTCTTTTTAAAAGTCTGTTGTTTTGTTTTGTTTTCCTGAGGCAGGGTCTCTGGTAGCTAAGGCTGTCTTAAAACTTCCTATTAACTGAGGATGACTTGAGCTCTGGACCTTCCTGCTTCTGTTTCTAGATTCTGTAATCCCAGGCGTGCATCACCATGCCCAGCCTGACGAATCATCTTCTGCCTCAGTTTCCCACCTGTACAAGGAGCTTAAAGAAGCGCATAGGTCTTTAGGGGGACACTTAAGATCCAAACTACAACAATATAAGTCAGTCAAGCCCGTGGCAGGTCTGAACTGCCCAGGAATAGGAGCGTGTGCTTAGTGACAGTTTTCCTGGGCATTCTATGTCCACAGTGATGCAAGCCAAGGCAGGAAAACCGAGACAGCTCTCTCCACTGGGAACATCTTTCACTGAGAGACTATCGAACGTCAGACACTGGGGTGGGCAGGATAGCACACTCACCCCTTGCTGCCTGTAGCTGACGACAAATATCACACACATTTAGTGACAACCGTGATTAAACGTCATTGCAAAGAAATAAGGCTATGTAGGAAGAACAAGAGGGGGCTGGAGGCTGAATTCAGATTCTGGTATAAAGGGAGCTTCTGCTGGGGTAGCTTGAGGGGTCAGAGCTGGGTGCTGGTGGCTCGTGGAAAGGGAAGACGGGGATTTATAATTATAATCCTCAGGGGGCTCGGAGACAGGACATTTTGAGGGCATTTAAGGAAAGCAGCAGGTAGGGAGCAGTGAGGAGCAGCTGAGGGAGCATCAGACAGAGCCATCTGCTCCGTGGTCTCAGGTTTTCTCTGGTGGTTGCAGACTTCCAGACTCTTCCACCAACTCTGGTGGTTGAGACAGGATGGTGGTTCCAACAGGACAGGAAGCAGAAGTGGGAAGGAGTCTGAATGCCTGGAATGTTTTAGGCCAGCAGTCGCTGTGTGAGGAGGAGCCATGTAGGATGAGGGCTGGGTTTATGTTGATGAACCCGATGGGAGACAGCCTTGTTCTCAATGGTTAGGGGAAAGGTTTACCTGGTGGGGGCACAACCTCGCTCACTGTTGGTTAGAACTGATTTCGTCCACTGTTGGTAAGGTTGATTTTGTTCCTTAAAGAAACTAGTATTGTTCTTTTAAAAGATAATATGTTGGGATGCCCCAAGCGGCCTGCGAGCCAGGAAGGGGCTGCCGCCAGAGCAGTGCAGGTTCCCCAGGCAAGCGGCAGAGTCAGGCGGCTGGATGCGGTGGACGGCAGAGTAAATGGACATAAGGCTAAACATTTATTACTTAAAAAGAGGGAGACAGAGAGACATGGAGACAGACATAGAGAGACAGAGACACGTGTACACACACCAAGAGACAAAACAAAAGAGAGAAGGGAAGATGGCTATGAGGGAGGTCAGAAGTGGCTGGGGAGTGGGCGTGGTTAGCTCTTAAAGGGACCGCAAAGGAATAACAACTAGTCTTTCGGTTCTGCACATAACAGCAGCCTGTACAGAGAAGGGTGCCCTCAGGAGGGACATCAGATAGGACCTTGGGGCACCGAGTGAAGGAAAGTCAACCCAAACCATTTAAGAAGAAAGGAATTTCTTATAGGAGTAAAGAATCCAGCAACAGTTCTCTCCGGGCACAATCTGATCAGCTATGGGAATGTTACGGTTAGGGTCTGGTCTGGTTCCTTCTCTCATCTCTGGTTATTTTGTATCAGCTCGTGCCCACTGCTCATCTCCAGAGCAAAGAATCCTGTCCAGCACCTCCCTGAGAGTTAAGAAACTCATCCTGACCTGGAGGTCCCATTGTGGGGATCACAGGCTCAAAGAAACATAAGGCTGGCTCTGATTGGTTCAGGCTGGCTCGTGTGCCCACAGAGGGAAATCTGAAGTTGTTGGAAGGATGGGATTAGATGATAGAGGGAATGAATAATGTAATGCTCTGCGGGATTCTTAAGCAAACAGCGGGCCAAATTATTTACAGACCTACTCTAAGGCTGGGGTGCAATATAGATTTACTCAGTATCTGGAAACTTCACAGGGGGAATACCTACTGCAGACAGAGACTGTGAAGTTTCCAAGGGTTTTTGAAGGAAGATGCAGAGAGACAAACTCCCCTGAAAGCCACTTGCCAGACATTGGGGGGGGGAGGGTAATAGCTGTGCTAAACAACAGTAAGAGTTGGGTTGCTAAATGCCCTAGGCTAGTTTGCCTATTATTCCACACTGATTTTCCAAGAACACATGATAAGTGCTTTTAGATAAACATTTTCAGCTCTGCAGAGGAGATCTGAGAGCAAATCCCTCACACCCAGAACATAATGCTCTAATGGGTAGGCACAGAATGCAAAGCCAATCTGGAGAGGCTCCAGAGACCCAGTTCTGCTGTGACCAATGGCCCACAGAGGTGATAACGAATCCTTTAGTTTAGCTGGGTGAATAGGAGCTCACCGACAGGGATAAGATCCTAGTTTCCCACAGATGCTCATGAGCAACACCCGGAGATCTGGATGTGCACAGATTCCAGGGCATGATCCCATAGCTCTCAGAAACGAAGGCTTATTCCCCTAAGTATGGTTCTCTTATGGATTTTTAGGAGAACTGAACAAAACTGGCATAGAATGAGCCTGGCAAACTTTCGGTGGAGTTCTTCCTACCAACCTGGCAGCAGTACGAACAGGGTAGAAGCAGACAGGGTGGGAAAGCCTCTGGAGATACCCACACCAAAGGACTGTGGGTCTTTGTCCTGAGGCCCTAGAGGACTTTTAAAGAAGCTCAAATAGCTGGGGATGTTAAGGGGACCAGATAGGAGGCAGGTCCTGGCAGTGTGGGGACAGGGTCAAGCTCTGAGAGAGACTGGAGGAATGTTTAGGAGTGACGATTCAGTGTCATGTGACATAAACTCTAGACAGGTGCTCTGGCTAATCCCACAGGTCCCTGGCTTTGAACCCCAGGATGGGCTCCAGATTTCCTGCATTACTTTTAACTGTGTCTGGGGCAGAACCATATTAAAGTGGCTCAGAGTCACCAGAGCAGGTGAGAACAGAGGACAACGGTCTAGCGCTGATGGATCCCCCCCCCCCCCAGCGCTGATGGATCGCATGATAAAGTGGAGTCACGTGGGTTAAGGAGGAGCTGAGGAGGGACAGAAGTGCCTACCTAAAGCAGGCCAAAGTCAGGACTACTTTGTTATTCTGTTTCTCAGCTTTATTCATTGTTACTCTTTCCCTTCTTTGACTCCCTGTCAGGAAAGTCTGACCCTCAAGTCCACTTCCTCTGAAGCCCTTATTCCTCTCTCTGAAGCTTGAATCTCACCCCCTATTCTGCACACCTATCTCTATCCCAGAGTACAGGAGGAGGGGCATAGTGAGGTGCCAGAGGTCTGTCTGCCTCTATGTCATGAGCCCCAACAGGCTTGAACTACTTAGAAACCCATCCGTGTCTCCATGCCTGTTTATAGAATTGCCATTTTTTAAATTTATTCATTTTTACATAGTGTATATTGTTGTTTTGCCATGGGTGTCAAGTCCCCTGGAACCAGAGTTACAGACAGTTGTGAGTCACTATGTGGGTGCTGGGAATTGAATCCGGGTCGTCTGGAAGAGCAATCAGTGCTCTTAATCACTGAGTCATCTCTCCAGCCCCAGAATTACTCATTTTAATACCTTTTTATCCCCCAGATGCTTTGGTAGAAAACATGGAACGTTGTACAGTAATTAGGCACCCACCAGCCAATAGTTTCCTACTTCCAGGTCCCTGTGACTGTGGACCTTTCCACTCTGTCCTTCCACACCATCTACTCTGCTGTTAACCAGGAATGGTCTGGGCCAAAAATGCCTTCCAAAGGCTATGTGTTAAAGGCTGGGTCCCCAAAACAACAATATTCAGAAGTAGGGACTTAAGGGGAGTGGCTGGATCCCAAGGGCTCTGATGTTATTAATGGGTCAACCCAGTTGGGCTGTATAATTCAGTGGTAGAGTACTTACCTGCTGTATCTGGGACTCTGTGCTCAATCCCCAGGACCACATAATACATCATACATACATACATGCAACAGGAAAGATGGGGAGCCCGGTATGAAGTCTCACACTTGTAATTCCAGGACTTGAGAGACTAAGACAGGAGGATTGCCATTTGTGTGTGGGCTCTATAGTAAGTTCCAGGCCAGTTTAGGTTACAGGGTGAGACTCTGTCCTCAAAACAAAAACAAGCAAACAAAGGATAATCTTTTGGTGATTCATACTTCCTGGGCTATGAGAGATAATGCAGATTTATCTGGTCCTCGGTGAAAGAGTGGGTGTGTCCTTAGGGGCGTGGCTTTAGGACTGTATGCTATCCCTTCCCCCTCTTTCCTTCATCCCTCCTTTCCTCCCTTTCCACCTCTCTTCCATCCCTTGCTCCTTCATGGACACCATGAGGAGCAGCTTTGCACCCCACCCCCTGATGCTTGGCTTCTGGCAGGCCCAGAACAGCAGGACCAAGTGGCCATGGAGGGCAGCCTCTGAAACCATGAGCCAAAATTAGTTTTTTTTCCCTTGGGTATTTTGATACAGAAACAGAAAGATGACAGTCATCTGTGCTATGCTCTAGGATCCGTGTGATTGCCCCCATTTTGCAGATAACCAAACAGATGTTCCAGGTCAGACAGCTAGCTACTAAGTGGTTTATTGTTGAAGAATTGGGCTTGTTCTTTTTGTTGCTCATCTCATAAAACAGTAAGATTTCAGGACACAACTCCAGTGTTTAGAAAGAGAAATAAGATAATATAATTATCTTGTAAATAGGCTTTTGGTGAGGGACATCTGAGGGACACTGTGCATAGATAGTGTGGGAGACGCACTTTAAATGCTGGGTCAGACTTCTGCGAGACAGGGAGCTTGGATGGAATTCAGGGGGGAGGTTTTTTTTTTGAAGGATAACAGGCTTTTGTTCTATCTTCCTTTCACCCCCAATGTCTCAAACAGATACCGAAAAGTTGGCTAACTATATGCAGCTGGCACATCCAAAACTCAGCGATGTCACCAACAGCATGGAGCATGCTGTGGTCTCCAGGAGTCCCCGAATCCGCTACAACCCTGGTCTGGATGTCAAGCTTCTCTACATCCCCCTGGCTAAGTTGCCCACGTCTGTGACAGATTTCATCTTGAGCCGATACTTGCCGAGGCCAGCAGACAGTGTTTGAGCTGGGGAGCTCAAGGGGTGGCCAGTGGTGCATGGAGGAGGGGGCAAAGGACTGTGGGATCACAAGAGGGACACTCACTGCTGGCTTATGTCTCCCCACTTCTGCTGGGGCCTCCAGAAACCTGATGTGACCCCTGCTGATTTAGAGAGTTGCCCTATGGGCCCCAAGACACCTCTCGCCAAGGCAGGTATAAACGGCCCTGGCCCTGGAAAAGTCAAGGAGAAGAAAGCTGGCTTCTGTTGAATGACAAACTGTGGCCACCCTGTAAAATACCACAGGATAAGGGCTGGAGAGATGGCTCAGTGGTTAAGAGTATTGCCTGCTCTTCCAAAGGTCCTGAGTTCAATTCCCAGCAACCGCATGGTGGCTCACAACCATCTGTAATGAGGTCTGGTGCCCTCTTCTGGCCTGCAGGCATACATGCAGACAGAATTATGTATACATAATAAATAAATATTATAAAAAATATCACAGGATAATCTAGTCCATGGGAGACTCTCAGCCCCTCCCCACAGCTCTCCTCACAAGCACAGGTTTGTACATATACAAACTGTGTAACGCGGCAGTCAGAACTGCCAGCGCATATCCAGAGAATGTTTGAAGTCGTTTCCTTTCCTTTGCGTTTCTCTATCTGTAGGTAATTGGGATCCATATAACACGCACTTCTTTAATCACCATTGATTAATGTTTCAAGTATTTATTGATTGCTTAATGCCTACCAGGCACTGAGGTTCTGAGGGTACAGGAGGAGGAGGAAATCATGAGCTTGGATTTTGTTGTTTTGTTTATGTTTTATTTTGTTACAATAGCTACAACAAAGTAGGAAAGTAGCAACAATGTAATCATTCCCAAGCTTGGATGCTCATAATCACTCAGTTAGAGTCCATATGGCTGCTGGAGAGGCAGCACTTGCTGACCAGAGGATCTGTGTCGGATTCCCAGAATCCACATGGTGTCCCACCACCTCCCATAATTCCAGTTCCGGGCATCTGAGGCCCTCTTCTGATCTCCACAAGCACCAACCATGCACATAGTGTGATATGCAGACAAAACACTGCTACACATAAAATAAAATATGGAAGCTGGACATGGTGTCTCATGCCTGTAATCCCAACGCTTGGGGAGCCGAGACAGGAGGATTTTTGTGAGTTCAAGGGCAAACAGTTTACAAAATAAGACCCTGTGTCAAGAAACAAATAAACCCCAGCGGGAAAAAAGTACATATGAATGTTAATGTTAGACAATCTGATTCAATAGACCCAAGGCAGAGGCTAGGACTATGAACTGGTACCAAGGACCTAGATGAGTCGATGTACCTGTGCACCTGGGAGCCACTGGTAGTGCCACAGGAGAATCAGCTATGTCCAGAGTAAGAAACAACTTACCCAAGGGCCCCCAGCTCAGCGTCCAAACAAACAGAGCTCCAGTATTCAGGTTCCTTTTTCTAGTTATAGGACAGTAACTGTGACATCTTCAAATATGTCATGGAACTAAATAATACATATATTAAAAAACAGTCATGAACTTCTGGCTTCTTTGAGCTTCTGCTAAAAAGAAAAGTTCTTTTGAGATACTGAGTATCAAACCCAGAACTTGGGCAGTCTAGGCAAGCACTCTACTAAGTTACATTCCCAACCGTCGGATTTTCAGTTAGGACTTTACCAAGTAGCTCAGGCTAACCTTGAACTTGCTATAACTTTCAGTAGTCCCTCAAACTTGTGATTCTTCTGCCTCTGTTCGCAGAGTGCTGTGACTACTGACATGTGCCACCAGTCCCAACAATAGCAATTAAATAAATAAATAAGAATGTTGAAAATCTTGATGACTATGCAATAAAGCTCAAATATGATTCTTGAAAATGCAAATGTGTTTGTGTCTCATCAACAACTAGAGATAAATATGACTTTAATTATCTCTTCAAACTCCTCCCAAATCAGGCAGCTGTCGTAGGTTCCAGAAATTAGCATTCCCATCCCTGGGAAGGGAGAGGACGTACTATACAATCTGCTATAGTCTGTTACCTACTATTCCCAGCACCAGATTCTGGTTCAGACAGAAGGAACTGAGGAAGGAGTAAGAGAAAGCCCGGCCCCCTAGGCTTAAGTGCTAGATAGTGAGAGAGTGATCCAGCTCCTAGGGGCATGGCTCTGCACTCCCGCAGCACAGAGGCAGGAATGCTGAGGGTAGTAGCTCTTTGCTTCTTCACTTCTAACTCACAGGGGAGACAGCTGCTTTCACAGCCTTCCAGAAAGGTGTTCTCTCAGAGCCAGCATTGAGGTTTCTTTTAGAATCCCTGCTGTGGATTATTATTTTAACTAGGCAAAAATGTGTTACATTTGTTTAATGATGTAAAGATTTGCTACATCTGTTTCATCCTGCCTGCCTAAGGCACCTGATTGAACTAATAAAGAGCTGAACTGCCAATAGCTATGCAGGAGAGGGATAGGCGGGGCTGGTGGACAGAGAGAATAAGTAGGAGGAGAAATCTTGGCTTAGAAAAAGGAGAATGGAGAGAAAGAGGGAGAAATTGAGGGACATGCTGGGAACCAGAAGCCAGGCAGCCACCAGACAGACACAAAGCAGTGAAGGGAAGGAAGACATACAGAAGGGAAGGGAGACATACAGAAAGAAAGGTAAAAAGCCCCAAAGTAGAACACACATAACGAGAAACAGGTTAAGTTATAAGAACTAGTTGCCAGGTGGTGGCGATGCATGCCTTTAATCCCAGCACTAAGGAGGCAGAGGCAGGCAGATCTCTTGTGAGTTCGAGGCCAGCCTGGTCTACAATAGCTAGTTTCAGGACAGGCTCCAAAGCTACAGAGAAAAACCCTGTCTCAAAAGAAACAAGCATAAGATAAGGCTGAGCTTTCATAACTAATAATGAGTCTCCATGTCATGATTTGAGTGCTGCTATCAATCCCACTGACTCAAAGTGGCTTGGGCTTGTCCTGACCCCATCCCCGATCAGGCTGCAAGTTGGCATAAACTGTAGCTCAGTCATAGGATGGGGGTGTCGGAGAGTTGGCCACACTGCTCACTGCCCTGGAAAAGTTCAAAATTTAAACCTCTGTGCTGCTGAGAGTGCTAAAGAAACGTAAAACATAAATTTAACTAAAGACATAGCAGCTTCAGGCATGTGTGGCAGCGCATGCCCGTGATCCCAGCATTGGGAAGGTGGAGGCCAGGATATCGGGGGTTTACAGCCTCTCTCTGTTACATAGTGTGTTTGAGGCCAGCTTGGGTCACATGAGACCCTGTCACAAACCAATGACACAGACACTGAATTATAAGGAAACTGTGTCTGACAATAGCCTGAGATAGTCATATATACTTTCCGAAGCTCCTTGCTGTCCCATTTTCCCTTCCCCGGACTCAAGTAGGTACCTAAATTGAGCCTTCGCTGGGGTAAGATGTTTGACAGAACACAATTTCCCTTTCTCAGCTTTTATTGCCCCAACTCTGAAGTTGATAGCGAAATTATGGGCTTTGGAGAATGAAGTACAAGTAATGTCACTTCTGGACAAGCCTAATGTCTCCATGAAGCTGTCCCTTCTCCAAAGACACGAGGAGTCGCTGGCTGTTGAGAGAAATGGGTGACGTCTAACGTTTCTGGGGCCGTTTCCAGACGCACTTTGGGGATTGGCAAGACAGGGGAGCAGCTGCTGTGCCCTGTGTAACGCAGATGAGAGCCTGGGGAATGTCACATACTATACTGTGCCCCACTCTACAGGACAGGCCGGAAGAGCCACCCAGGAAAGGGTGTCCACATTGCCACAGCAGACATTTCTTTAAGTAACCTGTGTGCATAGGAGATTTCATTCCAGAAGCTCACCTCCGGCCAGCAGCGTTCTAGTTTCAGTGAGGAAGAGGCTAGGCCCAGGGAGTGTCATGAGTTGCCCGACAAGGGATTAACAGAGCACTCTTTGAGTTCTAGAACCCACTCTTTACCACACCCTCTATTTCTTCTCTGTCCACCTGCTAGGAGTGATGGGCCCTCTGTTTCCACGACGACACCTCCCGAGACGGTAGCTGTCCTTCCGCTCATTCCTCAGCAACCACTGCCCTTCCAGAGGCTTTTCTTTCCTGGGGAATGTGATTGTCCCCCACATATACACCCCTGGAACCTCAGCAAGTTCCCAGATGTCCCTCAACCTCAAGAGAAGGTGGGGAGAAAGATAAGAGCCCACGCACCAGAAAGTGGCCACTCTTTGCCTGACCAGCCTTTTTGAGGCAGTTCTACACAAGGACACTCTATAAACACGAGCCCGTTGCTCTCACACTCAATCACATACAGGCCGTTAATGACAAACTCAGGACAGCAAGCAAAATGCTCCTGCTGGCACTTCTGGTGTGATGCCGAAGGTAAAATGAGTTGTCTGTGAGCGACGCAGAAAAGCTGAGACTCCACAGACCACCCGTCAACCCGTCAGAGGGCCTTGAACACGAAGGGAGGCGACACACGTCTCCAGTGACTCTCCCAACTGTTCTAGAAAAGGAAAGATCTGATTTTTAAAATCCTTATTTCTTTAAAAATATTTATTATGAGCAGGGCGGTGGCGGTGCACGCCTTTAAACCCAGCACTTGGGAGGCAGAGGCAGGCGGATCTCTGTGAGTTCAAGGCCAGTCTGGTCTGCAAGAGCTAGTTCCAGAACAGGCTCCAAAGCTACAGAGAAACCCTGTCTCAAACATATATGTGTGTGTGTGTGTGTGTGTGTGTGTGTGTACGTGTTGTGTATATATGTGTATATATATGCATATATATAAATATATATATATATATAATGTTATTTACACACACACACCATGTTGGTGCGTGCTTGGGAGTCAGAAGACACCTTGCAGGAACCAACACACACACACACACACACACACACACCATGCTGGGGCATGCCTGGGAGTCAGAAGACAGGTTGCAGGAATCAGTTCTCTTCCACCATGTGGGTCCCAGGCATTAAACTCAGACCCTTAGGCTTGGGTGGCAAATGCATTTTCCCAGCGAGCCATCTCATGGGCCTATTTGCGGATCTATACTAAGGAGTTATGTGTGGCTCTCACGCACCTCGGGTGGCAGGGCAGGCGCTGCATGAGCCACCCCTGATATGTGGACAGTTTAATGGTGAGTTGTGAGTCAGGTTTGGGAACCTGCTGAACAGACAGCTGAACGTGCAAGGCTTGTAGTTGCTGCCTGGAAGATGGTGCCCTCAGATGTCACCAAAACAGACAGTGAGCTCCACTCTAGCTCCCTGTAAAGGATGTATACCTGAGAGAACTCCCTATGACTCTGGTTTGTTTTCTCCTAAACTGGACGCCCCTTTATTCCAAACACCGGCCTCCAAGAAGATGGCACCAACGTTCCTAATAAGAAAGAGGCATCAAGGGGCTGGAGAGATGGCTCAGAGGTTAAGAGCATTGTCTGCTCTTCCAAAGGTCCTGAGTTCAATTCCCAGCAACCACATGGTGGCTCACAACCATCTGTAATGAGGTCTGGTGCCCTCTTCTGGCCTTCAGGCACACACAGAATATTGTATGCATAATAAATAAATAAATATTTAAAAAAAAAAAGAAAGAGGCATCAAAATAGTAATTTGGTCCATACCCCATACTTAGTGTTGAACCCTGGCCCTTGCACATGCTAGACAAGTTCCCTATCATTGAGCTACAACCTCTACCCGCAAGTTTTGTTCTTACTTTGTGCAAAGGAACATTGCTTTTAGATCCAAGAGGATGTCTAATTCCAGTTAGTCATAGCCCAAGGGATGTGTGTGCTGTATGCTGCAGACGGAGGCTCTTCTCCATCCTGCGGTCCCATTGAGTGATTTAATACAAACTATTCAGTCCTGTGTGCTCTTTGTGCAGCACACCACAGTGTAGTCAGCTTCCTTTATATGCAACATCCACGTCCTATGGAAAGAAACTTTATTTCATGCTAACCATTTTAGCATTCTGCTGCTGTTTGTTCTATGAGACAGAACCCCACTCTGTAGCCCAGACCAGTCTGGAACTCACTATGTAGTCCAGGCTGGCCTCACCCCTATGGCAACCCTCCTTCCTTGTCCTCCAAGTGCTGCGATTATAGGCGTGAGTTACGACACCAGTTAATCCGAATGTTTTCTGGA